TCGTGTATTGCTTTCTTTGGTCGCTCATTCACTCTCCCGACATTGAGCTTCTCCGCTGTCCTACCAAGAGCTAGGACGTACTGTGGGCTCTGCAATCATGCTCCTGGTGCTCTAAAAAAAATCTCTAGTTATTGGACACGGCTCTTCTGAATCGAGCTAAATAGCTTCTCTCTTGTCTGCACACTCGTTATGTCTACGCCCCGGACTACACCCTTGGCTCGCTTTTCCATGATCTTGGGCTTGCCTGAAAGGATTTGACTAACGTGTTTGAGATTCTCCGAGATTTTTCCTCATAGGTCTGTGCTGTAATGTTACGAAAGCCGATCGGCTATCGTTCCTTAATACTAGCGACAATTTACCGGTGGAAAGTGCATATAAATAAGAGATAGAGCATTCATCGTCCAAGAGCCACCCCCCTTCTCCGCTTGTCTAACCCCAACCATACCTAGCAGCTCACTGACGTTGGAGGATCGTTTAGCTTCGACCTCTATACCTGAAGCTATTCTCAACAAACTTGATCCTGAATATCGCAAATTTGTTCTTTCCTTGCCCCCTTCCCCTCCGAAACCAACACGCAATCCCCCTTGGAGTTCAAAATTCCGGCAAAGCGAAATTGATGAGCCTCCCGAGCTCGGCGAGGCACCCGGTACTCCGGTCGGATCGACCCGTACTATTGAACTTGGCGGGTTCTCAGCAAATGTGTTAATACCTTTTGGGGACCAACCTAAACGTGGGTGGCCAGTGCTCATATGGGTACATGGCGGTGGATGGGTTTTCGGACATGCCGATAGTGGACTTTCTACCTACTCAAGAGCATGCGTAGGTAAGAGCTTACTTTACGCTATTTTGATTTATTATGATGCTAGATCCTTATGCTGTGGAATCCGTAGAAGCTCGTTGCGTAGTAATGTCAGTCGAATATAGACGAGCCCCAGAGCATCCCTTTCCAGCTGCCGTTGACGATCTTTGGTCGATTCTCGCCTGGATTCGAAGCGAGGGAAAGAATGCCTTAGGTATTGACCCAAACAAAATTGCAGTTGGAGGCGCCTCAGCGTGAGTTTCAGGGCCTTTACTCCATCATATCGATTAATTTGGGGTATGGGCCATAGTGGGGGAAACCTGGCGGCTGTTCTTGCACAGCGAGCTGCAGCCGCTTCGCCCCCAATCCCGATAGCACTTCAAGTGCTTATGGTCCCTATCACGGATTGTACTTTCACGGAGGACGACCGTTCGGGCTGGACACCATCAATGATTGAATATGCCGACATATATGCGCTACGTGCAGTCGATATGCTTTGGTTCCGGGACCTATATATTCCAAATGTAGCACAGAGACGGCTTTCAGACGCATCGCCGTTGTATATGGAAGACGAGCCTGTTTTCAAGAATTTGGCGCCTGCTTGGGTTGGCGTTGCGGAACTAGATGTATTGCGAAGCGAGGGAGAGGCGTACGCAGAAAAGATGAAGAAGCATGGAGTGCCAGTTACGCTTACTATGTACAGAGCTATGTTTACAACCGCCCTCAAGATTATGACTGAATATAGAATACATTCGCCACTAGGTGCTACTCACCTTACACCAGCTGCGGACCGAGTAAGTTGATATTGTGTACATCAACGTTAGACGCTAACTTCCGATACTATTACAATCAGGTCTGTGCCTTGGCTCGGAGGATGCGAAGCGACCAGGTCGCAGCCATCAAGGCTGCTTTCTCCAAATGATGAGTAAATACAACCAAGAGAATGTGTATTGCTCGTACTGGATTTTTACCTGTGTTCTACTACCGACTTTCAAGTCCACTTATTTTGGCGCTTTCCAATGAATTAAGATAAACTAAGCGTGAAGGGGGCTAATTCCGTAAGCTGTCGCGGCATACTAATAACTAGCCGGCATCGATCTTGGAGATTGATTATGACGAAAGAGATGCTCAGGGAGAGATCCGTCGATAGGAAAGCCTATCATGCCATTACTAATTCAGAGGTGAGTCCGAACCCTCCTCGCGGCCAACAAGATATCAGAAATATTGACTATGAGCCGACTCGAATCGCATCTAGATGACCCCACAAGCATTCCTCCCGAGATACTGAAGAGACTTGACCCTGAATACAAGGATTTTGTTCTCGCTCAGCCTGCATCCTCACGAACTCCCCTCTACACAGTGGGATGGAGCTCGAAACTCCGTGAAATAGTTAACTCAAGTACGGCTGGAAAGGCGAATGCTGTTCCTGTTGGAGTAGTAGAAACTGTTAGTCTAGGAGAGTACTCCGTGCGAGTCCTCATACCCGAAGGCGAGCCTCCGAAAGATGGTTGGCCGGCTTTGGTATACTTACACGGGGGAGGATGGTTATTTGGGACATCTCAAACGGGAGAATCGTTCTATACACGTGTCTGTGTAGGTAAGCCGTGTTAGCACTGGCTAGTATATACTTAGATCTCAACATATTGCAGAAACACGATGCATAGTTGTGTCAGTGGATCATAGACTCGCGCCGGAGCATACTTTTCCAACGGCGCTCAATGACTCGTGGTCTGCTCTTTTATGGGTTTGTGCGGAGGGTGGAGTAAAATATAAAATCAACAAAAGTCTTATAGCTCTATGTGGCTACTCATCGTGCGCTCCCTTGACAAAATCTGCGGGATGTTCTGCTGATATGGATTCACAGGGGAGCTAATCTTGCTGCCGTCCTTGCCCAGCGGGCAACGATGTTACGCCCTCCAATACGCCTATGTGCGCAAATTCTCCTTATGCCACTCGTTGACCTTACTCCTACATCTGACCCATCGACCTGGTCGCCTTCTATGCGTGAATACGCAAATGTGTTCGGACTATATGCGGGAGATCTGCTCTGGTCTCGGGATCTTCATACTCCGGAAGTCTCCGATCGAACCCTCCCAGACGCATCGCCGCTGCTTCAGGATAAGAAGGAAGCGTTTGAAGGGATGCCGCAAGCATGGATAAGCGTTGCAGAGATGGATGTGTTAAGGAGTGGAGGAGAGCTTTACGCAAAGAAGCTCCAGGAACATGGCGTTCCAGTTGCGCTAAAAACGTACTACGGTGAGTCAAATTCTATCACAGAGCCGGTTGTGCGATACCAACCCGTCTTTATGCTTAGGAGCGGCGCATCTCCTCATACAGGCAGACGGGGTAAGTAATGGTAATTGAGCCATAAGATGTACGCTAAAATCAAAGAAGGTTTGCGAGCTTGCTCGTACAATACGAACCGATCAAATCGAAGCTCTCAAGACTGCATTATCCAGCTGACCTGCTTCATATCGGTGTAATTGTGGCTGTAACTTGCTAAAACATACACTGCTGATAGCTACCTCCTTCAGTCGTGAGCTCCGGTAAAATATTATTTGGTTTGAAGGACGGGATAAATCCATACTCCTAAAGCCGCCCGTTATACATGACACAACTGCGCCGGGCTTGCACAGTGCCGGGCTTAAGCTGAGACGTATCACAGACTGAGTGGTTTAATATACTCTAATTGGAATACAAACCTAAGAAATCTACTTCGATGTAGTACACTCGAATAGTCATTCTCTGACATCATACACAGTCACCTGTGAGTTGGGCTCACATGCTCAGAGGATGGAACTTACAAGATTAGAAGCGGAAAAATAGGATGGATTTCTCCAAATGCTCCGACTAAGCCAGAGCGAACTTGATCAACATCCATATCCTTGAAGACGAATGCGCTCTTGAGAGTAGCTAATATCTTCAAACAGAAGTCACGAGTTCCACGGTGCGTACTTGAAAGACAGAATCGCCGGTGGTGAATGTACACCAAGTGAAGAACCTCGTGTAAGGTCGCGCCTTGGTTCATCTCAAATTTGCCCATTCGCGCGAGGTAGTGTTCCCCACTGGCAAAGTTTGCTTCGAAGCCTTCTAGAGGCGCTGGGAAGATTGTTGGCTTAAGCTCACCGGAGTCGGCTGCGAGTTGCAAATGCCAGGCAATCTTGGAGCCGACGAAGACTAGGAACCAGTTGCGCGGACCGTTAGTCAGATATGGCCCGCAGATATATGCGCCCGTAATAGTTTGGTTAAGTGCCTTCGCATCGACCCGATTAAAGAAAGAGAGGAGGTTGCTGGGAGGTGTAAGTGACATCTTAAATATCTAAGCTGGCTCGATCTCTTCGAGGGCGATCTGCACGCAAAGATAGGGGCAAATGTTAGTGAGCTGGTCGTGAATCGTTTGTTCGACGGCGAGCTTTATATCGTTTTCCATCTGCTTAAATGCGTTTGTTCGGCCACACCTACCAATATCATAATGCTTGCCGTTAGATGGATCATGAGGACCCAAAGCTGGCGCATACCTTTGCAAGAAGGGCCTGTCCAATAAAGTGCGGTTATGCTATGTTTCTACTAAGAGAGAGTGGCAAGTGCGCTCTTCTCTATCACACCAGGCGCTAAGATAATGATTCTGGTCCTTAGTAGGCCTGGTATGAAAACAGGATAAAGCTAGAAATATCTCACGCCGCCTCAACGCCAGACAAACGAAAACCCTTCGCGTATGAAACCGACTCGGAAATTTAGTACATCGTTATTAGGGGTTGTTGCTCCTACGTAATCGAAGCAAATGACCCTTTGTTCTCAGACAGTTCCGTCTTGATCGTCAAGGCAATACATCCCAAATCAAGGTATACTCTAATAGTTGGCTTGAATGGGGTTTACAAACCAGCCCTAACTCGCCGCAGGTCCAAGAGTCATCCCAGCTTTCAGCTCGACTGAAGGTGCCAATGGCGGCTGAATTCAATACCTGATAGGAAAGCGCTCTACCTTCCAACACGCCACTGTTGATCACACTGCCATAACGAACGCAATTTGCGGCCGGTCAGATCAAAAGCTGACCCGCGGCAACGTTTACCTTGCCAGCCTCACATGTAGCCTCAGCTAGAGGCATATACTACAGTTTTAACCAGGATGAAAGGTGACCACAGACTCAGTTACTGGTTGATATTTACGCTCCAGAACACGCACGGACTGTGAGAAAAAAACGTGAGCACTGCCAGGATCGAACTGACGAACTTTGGTTGACAAATCAATCCCCTGGAGGGGTGCGTCGAAGACCAACGTGGTAACCACTCCACTAAGCGCCCATGAGATAACACCTCACTTCCACCAATTGTGTTGAGGATAGCGACCGATACTAGTAGTCACCTCGTGCATCAGCCAAACGCATATACCCGGCCTTGAATTCACACTTATAACAGGAGTAGACTCTTTGGACTTTTCAGCACTATTGGAGAGATTCCTTCATTTCCGCGGTCTGTAATCACCCTAGTTGTAAATAGTGAAGGGTGGCAAGCAAGGTTCAACCATAACGTTTCCATTATTCCCTACTCAATACCGTAGGTAAGGACATAACGGAAGCGCACCACTCTTCATCAACCAACAAAAAAGTCCCAAACAATTATAAAGTCCCGGATGTAGCAGTCCAAAAGCCATAAGTCCATGATCATAATAATGTCCGAAATAGCAAGAAAGAGTGAAGGGAGAGTCGTGCAAAAATCCCCAATAAGTCCCAAAAGTCCGAAATAAGTTCGTAAAATCGTGTCCAAAAAATTTAAAAAAAAAGAGTCCAAGAGGATTGAATCAAAAAGAGCATCGAAGAATTACGGGTTCCCAGTCTTGGCGAGCATACTAAATCCACTCTGTTAGATGAATCCCAGATAGCTAGCAGGAGTAACTCACTTGGCGATAGCACCCTGGTCCACAGGTGGACTCCGCCCGTCGCCAACCATGACCTTCATAGCTTCAGTTGGCACACCATCCACAACGATGTATAGCCACGCAGGACCAGGCGGGTAGACTATCCATCCGGTCTCGTCAGTTCATACGCCTTTTCGTGTCCAAAGTACTCACCATTGGGATTCGGTGGTCCAGTAAACGTAACCAGCTTCCGCCCAATCATCAGAGCCGGCAACGTTACCATCCGTTGATCCATGTGCACACCGTGTGTCGAGAATCCGAGGTCCATGAGGACGACCTCAACCTTTTTGAACAAGAATCCACGCTTGTGGCGCCCGAAGGGCAAGGAGATTGTCGCAGTTGCCCCGCGTGCGTAGTGCAGAGTTTTGTCGGAGAAGATGATCGAAGGGCGAGGCTTGGGCATGTAATCCTATGTTCCAAACATTAACATAATAATAAAGATCATTTAGACGAAGAGACGTACTGGGTAGAGCATTTCGACCCTGAACTCAGTCGGATACTCCCTAGTCTCCACATCCAAATTCGGGTTCGACCCAGCGACCATGACCGTTCCCTTTGGCGTCAACGTCCTGCATCCCAATCCGCTCACATCAGACCCTCTTTCTACGTACAAAAAGCAGAAGATAGACTCACGCAACAGAGTGGTACATCCTCGGAATGTTCGAAACCGGCAACCCTGCATTCGAAAACCTCTTGCCAGCCGGCGCCAAGGGATCGTACAACACAGGCTGGAGTACCGGTCCGTCGGCATTGGATGTCCCAACCTGGTTCTGCACGTTGCCATAGCCAGCTGTGCCGCCCGTCGCACCGTTGAGAATGAGGACTTTGCCGTCAGGGAGGATGACAGCATCAGGCATCACTGTAACCAAGCAAGGGCATGAGAAACAAGAGAAATAGTGAGTCTTGGATACGACGTACTACGCGGTTGCGGCATTTTCTCAACTTGCCAACCCTGCATCGCCGATCCACCCAAATTATCGAACACGGTCCAAAATTGGACATATTCCGATTCAGTCGGTGTGACAAAATTAAATGACGCCATGCAATTAATCGGTGCAGAGGATTGAATTATCGAATATACACGTCGATCAGCTTCGATCCAGACACTCAAATCGAGAAAGTACATACCCTCTTGATACCTTGAGCGTTCAAGACCATCCGCGAGCATTGGGCACTAGCGGGTGTATTTGAGCTCAGCTCAGTCTCAAGCACCGTATCCCTAGCAAAATAGAACCCCATTACAAATCTGCCAACTGGCGAAGTGAAAAGCTGGACTCACGAAACCTCAGACCCTCCACAGATCATGATCTCAGGCGCCCACCCGTTCTCATACCGTAGAGGAAGAATTACGGCCGCGCCACTCATAGGGTAAGTACACCGCTGGCCATTGGGGAGGTCCGGAAGGCGAGTCTCAACATTGCGTTGCCAATCGAGGATCACTGAAAGGTGGCAAAAATAGGTTTGGCGCCGATAAGATACAGAAAGGCAAGCTTACTAGTTTTGTTGTTAGCGGCTACGAAGACTTGACCATTTGGTAGGGCAAAGACGTGCGGGAAGAGGTTATGAGGGAGAGCTAGCACAGGTCGTTAAAACTCATAACGAGCACAGGGTATAGGATACTTACTCTCAACGAGGAATTTGCTAGGGATTTGGAGACCTAAACCCACATAAGGTTTGGCTCCGTAAAATATGAGGTACACGTACCGTTGAACCCGTTAATGTTCTTAGGAGGGTAAAACTCGTATGTGGGATTGTTGAGCTGTGGGCCATTGGTCCACCCGCCTAAAACGCCACTCTCAGATGACATAATATAAAGCGCGTTGATAAACCTACCTCCTAAAGCACCACCAATGATCAAAAGTGAGCCATCAGAGAGCCGAGCACCCGATGGATACCATCGCGCAGACGTAAGCCGAATACGCTGAGTTAAGTCCCAGAGTCAGGGTATCTGTAAAAAGAGAGACACAATGGTAAGAACCGACCTGTGCGTCCTCGTAAACATCACACTTTTCCTCGGCTGCACAAGGATTTAATAATCGGACGCCCTGCAGTCCGTTTTGCGAAGTAGAGTTCCCAATCTGCACGAGCGGGTTGCCACCAATGTTGACCACTGTTTGATTTTCGGGCCGAAGTGAAGGGCAAAATCAAACGACAAAGGCAGGATCAGAAATAGGAATCATCAGACACATGTTGCTGACAACACTAGAACTAAGGCACGCACTGGTTCCGTTCGAAAGCCATCCACCTCCGGCACAGAAGCTGTTGGTCGTGATTCCGTTCAGCGGACGGACAGTATTGGTCTTGAGGTTGTAAATTGCCCCCAGAGCGTGTGTGCCCGCGGAAGTCTTGAGCGGGTTTGACTCGAGCTTGTCAATCATCATGACCGTATCAGGTCCGACGACTACCATCTGCATCGCGTTACTACAACAGGATGACTCTGAGCTACAGCAAACTGATTTACAATGTAGAGAAAACTCACACTCCGGACGTTCCAGGTTGGGTCAAGGTCCATGTTGCGCGGGTCGACGCGAACAGACACGGAAGAAGAAACAGATGGGACCAGGCCATCATTTGGTGTTAGAATTATAACGAGACAGAAGAAGCGACTCGATCGATTAGCTGAAAATGAACGTGATGCCGAAAGCGAGCGTCGACAGGAATGAGTGGGACCGAAACCAGTCAGCGAACACGAGAGGGAGGAAGGAGGGAGGGAGAAGGAGAAAGAGTGCGGAAAGAACGAAACGAGCTTTGCTTTATGTTACACTCATCAAAGGATCCGATGATCGTCGGCTAACTTTTCGCCACCCGATTTGTCGTGTGCCTGCCATCGTCAGGAAGTCCTGACAACGCAGATCCTTTTGTCACGTGAGATGTCCTAGTACGCTTCATCCCGACCGAACCACGAGCCTCGGTTTATTGGGAGCACACGGAATCAGTTTCACAGGTGATTCCCTGTACCTATTATTACGGACATCTCGATTCACAAGACCGAGGAAGACAGGGCCGGGGTACGCTAGTCCCCGGATGCATACACACACGACATGTTTCCATGATGATATATGCGTACGGTGGCGGCAACCACTGGGCCAAGGCACCAGGTCACACAGCGCTGCCACAAGCGCTACGTATGGGGCCCCTGAATTGTGCTTCGCAAGGATCCCAAAGACGATTTGTACATACGCGTGGTTCGTGCGCGGGTTTTGGAAAGGTGAAGACAACTAGAAAGTGCCCGTGCCGGGCTGGGCACCTTGCCCGCTTTCGGAGTTTGATCGACTTGTCTGCTTTCCCTCCCCCCACTCATGCGCGCCAGCGTTGGAAGTTATCGACCGACGCGAAATACGCAGCCATCTAGTAGAAGTTTGAGGGACTGGGCATCGAACTTACCGACCCTAGGAGGGATTCCTATAGCATGAGGGGAAAGTCGTGCAGTTTGGACGTTTAGTGTGGGCGGCATATGTAAACAACCCACTACTTTATAAATATAACTAAAGCAAGAAACGCCTTAGCCTATAGGCATAGAGCGGCAAAATTAGTGCCATTACAGCGCTCGTACATGATTTAGACGCGAGTTTGTTCTATGTATGTGTCGTGATTAGGTTGAATGTGCTTTCGATTGCCTCGGTGATATCAGGCCCAGCACCGAATCAAAGCTAGTCGACGACTTCGGACACTGGCGTGAGATAGAGGACAAAAAACTCCAATTATCTGGTGTAAATACGCACAATATACAGAAATACCATATTGGTAGGACCTATGTTTGACCGGGGTCATACACACGATTCATATCTATCCCTTATTTATTCTCACTCGAGGGTTTCCTAACTAGAAGCAGCACGGCCCGTGCCACTGACCTTGCTTCCGTTGAAGACTCGCTGTTTGCAAGCTTAATCTAGTGATATTAGATACCTCAACACTGCTCTTGAGGCTCGAGTGGGACTCGCGCAAGCTAACATACAGCATATAGCTACAATGTTAGTGGTCTCAGCTCAAGGCTTCAAATAAGGCTCCCAGACTCGGCCACTAGATACAGCCTACCAAGATATCGACTGACATAGGCAAAGGATTGTTTCAAATATCTGAATAAATGAAGCAAAAGTTGTTTGAAAGGTGATAAAGCTCTCGCCGCCTGGTTACTTGGAGCACAACCGACATTCAGACTATTCTCTAAGCTCAACTCTTGGCCAGATCGGGCTACCCTCATCTAGGGTGCTGCGTAAAGCTGTATCGTAAATGGGTTCCCGTTGATGCGTGTTAAAATTGGCAAGTCCTGCTACGAGTAACAGGAATCACGGCTATATTACGGCCAGTGCTCTTACGTGCGCTGGAGTTGGGATTTAGCAAACCTGTTGCATACCACTTGGGTAATTTTAAGCTCCACCAATTTATT